GGCTAGAAGATCTACTAGGTCCCTTCTGACCCTAAATCTGTGAATCTATAAGGAATGTACTATGGAGTCACGGTGCTATTGGTAAATAAAGCCATTGTAAATAAATAGTTTGTTTGAGATTCAGTCTTGGTTGTCTCAACAAATCTGGCATTTATAGCATTAGATAATCACCTGGCATCATTTTATGAATTAGCCGGTCCCCCTTTCTTTTTCCAGTGTGCCAGCTATTGTGTATTGGAGGTGTAGTTGCTATCAGCTTTCTGATCCAGTGTAGAGCTTTTTTCCCTGAAGTGACTTACAGACTGGAAGCGTTTTAAAGCATTTGGAACTTTTTTATATGCAAAACATTATCAAGCTTTAGGTTTGCTATGATAACTGTGCAAACACTGTGCACGTCAGAGAATCTTCTAGCAGTGTTTGGTTAATCTCTAACAGTGAAATCCCCATGATAGGTTGCTGGTGATTTCAGTCCTGGTAAGTGAGAAGAACTTGGATTCATTTACCTTGATGTGCTGCCAGTTTGTGGATTTGCTGGCACACGTCCAACCTGTTACTGTAGTCACACACTGGAAACAGCTGTATGTTGGAGTGATCCTGTGACGTGTAAGGAATGTCCAGGGTAGACTTCTACCATGTGAGAAGAACAAGTTGTCATGTCTTGCTCTTCAGCATTAGAAACTTATTTCAAGTTGTTTGATCAGTCCCATAATAATGAGCATTGGCTAAAATGGCTTTTGTATCATGTGATTCAGGGCAATAGAGAGGATTTTGAGTAGCATAATCTTGCTGATAGATGCAAAGAAACATCACAGTGAGGATCATGCCTTTAGCATCATTTAGGTGCAAGCACAAAGGCCCAGCACTTGGCTTCACTGAGGGTCTGCTTTAGGAGTTTAGGCTTAACGAATTGATTTAAAATGGGTGACGTTTTCTTGCTCAAGCAAAAATTATATTAAGGCTGCCTGCAAGTACAAAAAGAGTGTGTTTTATTTACTTAGTTATTTTTATGGTAAAGTTTCCATCTGCCTTTTAGGTTAGACAGAGATCAGCACAGTAGCATGCCAGAAGTGGTGACGTGATCTGTATTTGGTATGCTATTTGTACAGCATTTTCTGTTAAAGAGCAATGGAAAGCAGGTAAATTGCAGTACTGACTAAAGCTTTCCCTTACATGTGGACCCACTAGGTGCCTTCATCTTGCACCTTGACTGTGCATCATGGAAGTCAGTGGGAAATCATGGTGAATTTATCTTGTATTCTATTACAAAGCACGTCTAAAACAGAGAATTTTTGTAAGAGACTGTTGGAGTGCTGGCATAGTTCAAACAGCTAACCAAATTACCATAGGGAATGAAGAAGAGGCTACTCTGCAATGGATTAACCCAACAGGAAGTGAACATACTGCTGCAGATCATATATGAAGCAGGGCAAATATGTTCTAAAAGATTATTTAGCTTGCTATTGGGGATTTCTCTTTCACTTTAGGACTGATACCTTCTTCAAGAAGCAGAGTGTTTACTTCATGGGCGACTGGTGCCTCCTGAGTCAGGGGGGGCACATGCTGACCGGGGGGGTCCCCTGGTGGCCAATCCCACTGACCATGGAGGGAGAGGCCCCATGGCCAATCTCACTCATCAGAAATCGGCTGCGCCAGTTTCGGAAATCCTGCATCCACTTCTGGAAGCAGCACGGCTGCTTTTGTTGGTGGCTCCACTCCCTGGCCAGCGCGCTCACGGGGAGCACCATCACTCCTGCCTGCCCACCCGTCTGTCGCCTAAACAGGGAGCGCAGCCTGATGGCGTGCACCAGTGCTCTCAGGGGGTCCGTGTGCACCCCCTACGCATCACCAGTGGTTTACTTGATTCTTCATCCAAACTATTAGCACTTACTGAATATTGTGTGAAACGTAAGCAGTACCTCCCCTATTTTTCCCTGGTAAGGACAAGGTTTTAGGTTTGAGTTACCCATACCTCCAGACTGTTAATAGGAAAGTATTCAGCTGTTGCAGTCCCTAGTCTGACTCCTGCAGAGATTTCAAGCTGGCTTCAGAACTGGAAATTGTTCTTAGGCATAGGCTTCAAGTAGTGGGTAAAGCAGGCAGTTGGGAGTCTGGAGATATTGTTTTTGATGTCATAACTGATTTGTTACGTAACCTTGGGCCAGTTCCATAACTTCACTGTCTCAGTTTTTGTAAAATGGAGATGACAATGTTCATGCATATTTCAGTAAAGCACTATGGATTGGGAATAGTGGCTGAGAAGGCTATTGTTTAAGAGCTGTGGGGGATCTAGGTAGTTGCAGAATTGACTTCAATCAAAAGCTAACTGTCATAGTCAAGATGTGATGCTACTAACTTTTAAGTGGGTGAACCACATGAGCAGGCAGGCCAGGGTGGCTGATGTGGGGAAAGAAGAAGGGTGTCATTGGATTTAATGGGAATCAACAAGATCTGTATCAAACCTCATCAGCATTGTATATCTGTTTAAGACAGTAGTTCTCAATCTTTTTTAGACCCAAACCCACCCTCAATTAGTTTTAAGGCACCATTCAAAAAATGCCAGCTCTTAATTTCACCTTTTTCTGACTACAGAAAAGTAATGAGCAAATCTTCAGTTGCAGACCACTCTGAAAGACCAGACTAGGTCAGGATGTTTTAACATGATGGATTCCCATTTGAAATATCTGGCTTTACTTTGTGAATCACATTTGTTCACCTGGAAGTGCAAACATTGTGTGGGATTCCAGAGTTCTCTAGAAAGGATCTCACGGCACTGCAGGGTACTACAACACCCTAGTTGAAGATCTCTGGTCTAGGAGACACTTTCCCCTTCATCATTCTTCTTTTCTTTGCCCTAAAGAGCTTACAATCTTAAAGACTTTATTTTATGGTGAAAGAGCCTACCAAACTCTGTATTTTATAAACCATACACACTCAGATCTCATAATCAGTGTGAACATCTGTGACCTAGATGGGAGGACTTGAGTGCACTTTTTCTGAGGGCTGCCAGGACAATTCACCTGAGCCTGTGGCAAATGTTATATATGTGGAAGCATGATGGGGAGGGATGGAAAATGGTGCTGCTGCTTGTGTGTTGCTCCACATTCTCCTTTTAAGTGCATGATATGAGCTAATTTTGATGGTCAGGGTTTGAAGTTATTTGAATGGGGCTCCAGGTACTGTAAAGCTGTATTATATATACCATCCTGCCATCTTCTGTGCGAGGGGAGGGAGTCTATACCAGTACAGGGGGGCTGTTCATCTGTTGTATTTTGGAGCCCTGAGCTTGCACTTTCTGTACATCCCAGGCCTTAGGAAAGCATGGGCTTGATTTATTTTCTTCTAAAAAAGTAAGGTCAGTTTGGATAGTGTTGCTAAACGTGCAACTGCAGGAAAGACCTTGCACAACAATGCTAATTCATCATTTGTGAAGCAGGCTGCAATAATGTGTAGTGCACAGTGCAAGCTGTTTTCTGCTGATTGAAAGCTCTGGTGCTAACCTCAGAATCCTTTGAGCACAGCCCTGACAGTTGCATGCCCCACCTAAGGCCATGGTTCAGTAAAAAATCTCTACATGCTGACACTAATTCTGGACACATTTTCTGGGTTTCCCCATTTATTATTGTCTGTGGAACTGGAAATCTCCCAGCCCTTGTGATGTGATATGAAAATGTGGAGAAGACAATAGGATCAAAGTCGCACCTCAAACTACAAGCCCTAGTTTGAATGGCTCTGCAAGGTGCCTTAGATTTACTTGAACACCCTTTTATATCAGTGCCTTTAAACATCTTCATATTAGAGAGTCTTTAAGCGTGGCACAAATGGATGTTGTTTACCTCGCAATTCATTTCCTGTTTTTGTAAGGCGCCTAACATATCTACGGCAGATAGGAAGCCTCACTAGCACATGCCTCTCTTGCCAGATGGGTCTGTAATCTTATGTGGTGGCTTATGTTTTTTAGATTCTGAAACTGAGACCATCGCTGAGTGACACGTGGCCAGCTCAGAGGCAGTGCCAAGCACACAGTCCTACTTCAGCTAAGCGGGAGGAAGAGGAAGCTGTGAAATGATGTCGTGCAAGCAATTCTGTACTATTCTGGTCCACTCGTCACAATTTTGTAACTTCTTTCTAAGCATTTTTTATTGAGAGTTGGAAATACAGAAATGTTATGCAAAAATAAAGGAAAAATATTTTGGGGGAAACAGATTTTGGTCAAAAATGGTTCTCTTCTCTTAAGTCTTAAGAGCTGAGGTGCTGGGAGCAGTTTTGGGAGATATCAGAGTGGGAGATATCAGACTTATGTTTGAATTCTTTCTGGTTCATAGTTGATCGTAATTAAATTAAGTCTTTTCCAAAAGGGAACATTAAATTTGTTCAAATTCCATTAGAACCAGAATACATTCCTGCTTCAATTTCTCCCAATCATAAAGAGAAGTTCTTAAAGATAATGTTCTGTTTTAAAGCTGATTGAATCCAATAAGGGAAGCCCACAGAGACTTCACTGGATAGTAAGCTTGTTACTTGTCATTTCTTTTTTATTGACTTAAGCTGCATTTTCTTGCCAGAGTTAAATATGGTTTTCAAGTCTCTTAATTTTAAGTCTGAAGTATTCTATGAAAGAGTCAGTAATTGGAAAAATTCTTAAAGGACTTTAAAGTGCCTTTAACATAGAACAAGCTAAAATTATGTGGTGGGTGATTTCTTTTTCATGATTCACTGAAGGCCGATTTCAGCTGAGGTGATGTAGAAGTGAGTTTGTTACAATCTCATGAGTAATCATTCAGTGTAAATAACAAATTTAGTGCTGGCTTTTCAGCACTTTAATTAGGGAATGGGATAAAGTGCTGGGAAGGCTACTGTACCCCAGACTTTCAGCCTTCATCTGCTCTGTAACCAAAGGTTCAGTTGTTTTAAATCTAGATGCAAGAAAAAACAACAGTCCCGTGGCCTTCCCACTCCTCCTTTGTGCTACCACAGAAGTGCAAAGTCCTATTTCCCCACAAAGCTGCTTTACTGTCTCCTCTCAAGTGTTGGAGCCTGGCATAGTGTTTCATAATTGTTTGCTTGCCACATCTGTCCCTTCTAGGCCTCAGTTCAAAACAATAAAATTTTATTTTCTTGTCATCATTCATCAAGTCACTGCTTCCTTAAATCCAAGCTAGAGCTTGTCAGATTTTTTTTTTGTCTAATGCACACATATGAAGTAAGAATAGCTTGAGAATCCAGAAAGTCTAAGTCATTCATTTAAATCAACCTGACCTAATTAACTTAGAGCAATGAACTACTATGTCCAAATACTAGACTGATGGGGATGAAAAGTTTAAGTGTCAAATCAATAATTTGTGTTATCCCAGTGTTTAACTACTGTGTCACCACAACCCACATATAAAAGAATGAAAGCTAGTCTGTTGCACACATCAAGGAGCTGATAAGATAATGTAGCCTGCTTCTATGTTGAACACACTGGGCAATCTACATGTACATTAATGTGCTATAATTATGGTACATTAAGTTAGTACTTCTTTCACATGCTGCAGGGGTGAGGGGGAGCCAATGCTTTCAGTTAGGCAATCTCTTCAGCACCTTCCATCTACTCCCATATTTGGAGAACACTGGTGGGTGTCTTAGGGCTCAGTTCTTTATATGCACCTGCCCTGTATCTTCCCTCAGGTGTAACCCTCTTTATTCCCACACTAGCCTTTTGTACCCTTCATGGCTTCACTGAGCTAAATGAGTCTTCCTCAAACTCTCAGAAGAGACCCTGGCCAAGTATCTCTGGAAGAGCAGGAACATCTTTTCAAATAGATTATTAGCTTTTATACATCAGGATGACTACAAAGAGCGAGGGAGACCACCAAGTTTTCCCTGCTGTGCTGCTCAGACCAGTAAGCTTTTCAAATGTAGCTCACACTTGTTTTTATGACAGTTTAAAAAAAAAAAAAAAAAGTTAAATGCTAACTCAGTGCAGCTGAGTTTGTTCAAGTTGGGATTTTTGAGAACTGTTTTCTGAGAACCCAGCACCCCAGATATTTCTGTGCTGGATCAAGCAAACTGAATATTCTCCCATGTATTAGGTTGGCATTCTTGGTTTACAGTTAATTTGAAACATTTCCTGCATCTCGCATTGAAATGTTTAGTTTCAGTAAATAATGAGCCTCAACTACTTGACTTCTCAGCTGCTAGAGACCTGCCTATAATATAAAAAATGCTTTACATCAATAGCTGACTTCAGAAGCGAAGCCATTCAGAAAGCCAACATATTATACCAACTGCAGGAGGTATATAAACAATTAGGTGCTTGCTGTAGCAGCCAATTCCCACACTTCACTGCTTGAGTCCCAGAGGAGCATGTGGTTTTTATTTCACTATCACCAGCATTTGAGGTAATTTCCCACAGCTTGATGCCCTTCCCCATCTGTATCTCAGTAACTGGACAAATGTGCTGTTTCATGTTTTCTCATGAGTAACATTTCCTGAATCATGAATATTATCAAAATCCATATTCACAAGTATGGACATTACAGGAGTGAACAGAATCGATGCACACAAAAATGACTGAAAATTAACTTGGCACTAAAAAAAAAAAAAAAAAGGTCTCATTCCTGGCCTATATAAAAGGAGTCGAATCCTGTTTTTATCAGGTGGGGTGAAAATAAACTGTGCTGCCTGTTAGGTGCATTTTAATGCCCACTGAGGCAGCATGGTTCAGCCGTTGGAGAGCAGAGGCTGAGTCAGGAGACCTGTGCTCTACCCTGACCTATCTTTGTTTCACTGTGGGCACATCTACACAAGATGCTGTGGTACAGTAGCAATGAGCTATTGCACCATAGCTCATTGCTACAGTACTGTTGTGTCACCAGGCACAAACTGTATTGGCAAATCTACAGCACAGTAGCAACAGGCTACTGTGCCATAGCATCTGAAAAAAACACACCATGCAGTGATGGTATTGCTCGGTAACGCTGGTTACTGTGCCATCATTTAGTACTTGCTTAAGCAAGTACTAAAGGACTGTGCAGTAACAACTGCAGTCTGCTGCTCATGTAGTGTGGCCAGTGACCCCAAACAAATCAGTTATCCAAGTTGCTCCTCTTCCCACTAAATGGTATAAGAAGCATAAATACCAGTAGCCCTTTCCAAATGCCAGCTATTTGTTTTCTCTGGCAAAACAAATGCCTAGCATCCTTTGCTACAACAGGTGCAGAAGACCCTTAGATGCCTGAGCTAACTTTTTTTTCCCAATACACTCCCCGATTTAGAAGCTACAATGGCATCTTTGGATGGTTTCCTCTGGGTTACCATGCTGTATTGAAGCCCAGCATTTTTACATTTGTTTGCCTCTTAACAGCAAAAACAAGATGATATTGGCAAGGTCTTATGAGGCCATAAAAATGCTGGAGTACAGAAGATGAAGGAGACTTACTTTGGGATGGGGATGTGGGAAGCTGTTTATGAAAAAGGCCATGTGGCCTGTGACTGATGCCTAAATCTGGACTGCTTTGCAAGGGAGGGCATGCTTGTTAGGCCTTAGTTTCTGGTTCTCACTGCTGTATGAGCCAGCTCAAGAATATTGTAGCTCTTACGATGGAATATGACTGGCAGTCTGGTTCATAGGGAGCTCTCCAGCAGAAGGGAGGGGAACTGGGAATGTGTAGGGTTCTACTGAGAGAAAAGGCTTTTTAAAAAAGCACTAAATATTTTTAAAGGCTATATTTTGATTGAACAGGATTCTGCTGCCTGTCTCTTTGGAACAGTGTGGTTCTTTTTATAGCTGAAGCATGGAGCGCGAGAGCACTTTGTGTGTGATTTCAGATAGAAGAGCACTATCTGGATTTGAAAGGACTGACACATTAATGTGACAGCAAACTTATGTTTGTGACAGATAAGAGGATGAATCACTTTAAAACTTTAATAAGCACAAGACCCCAATTCACTTAAGCATGTGATTAAATCACTGATTTTAGAAATAGTTACTCAAAACCTGGTAAATAAAGAATTAAAAACCCTTCAGCCTTTCCTGAGAGAGTTAGGGGATGCACTTAGATATTTTGCTGAATCAGGGCCATTATGCCAAAGGTAACATTTCAGTTCTGTTTTTCTGCTTGGTTCTTCCTCATTCTCTAGCATTCTAAGCGAAAGAAATTGCCTGTGAACACAGGTGATGATACATTTGCTGATGTCAGATGGCATTGTGGTGTAGAGCAGGATGATACAAAAGGTTCAGTCACAATCAGAAAAATTAAATTGAAATGTCAGATCTGTTAAAATGCCAAAGATAGTAAAATTAACCTCAAACTTCTGTGCTAATTGTGTGCAAGCATCTAGACTGTCCAGATGATTCTAGCTGAGTGAGCATTATTTGGGGGCAACTGAAGGTGTGCTTTTCTGAAAAATTGATATTTCCAAAAGCTAGCAAACCCAAGGGTGCTTTGCAGTCCTTTCCTTTCAGTATTTGGGTTCATTTTACTGTGTACTCTGAAACATACATTTTCCACGACATGAAAAAGGTTATTAGGTTTTTTTGGTGGGGGGCGGGCTGTTTGTATTTTGTTTGGTTGGTTTGGTGTTTTAACTGTTCTGGTGGTAAATTTTGGAGCTCATGTGCCTGATTAGCAACAGCAGTGAAGCTTTTTTTCCCCCCTCAAATATTTGGTGGTATATAGTAGCAGTTGGAGGGAAAGAGGTTTGTTGGTTGGTACTAGATACTACCACTGTAGCTAGTAGGATATTCATGGTCTTAACATGCCTAGCTTCACAACTAACAAGCAGTACCATGGCAAGGAAGTGTGGCACTGGGAGCAAAGCCTGCAGCAACAGTCCACCCTCACCCCACACACACATCTGGGGGGGCACATGGCCCCCCAGTCCTTGCCTGGAAGTGCACGCAGCAGTGGGAACCACCCTTCCCCTGTCTCCACGCCCCCCCCCCCAAATGAGCCCCTCGTGACTCTGTCCCATGCCCTGCCCTGGCTGGGCAGAGTCTGTTGGCCTGTTGGCGCTCTGGGCAGTTGCCCTGCTCCCCCCACACTTTGCTATGGCACTGCTAAAAAAAAAAAAAAAAAACAACAGGAACAGAAAAAACGAAACAAAGCACTGTTTTGGTCTTGCGTATGATTCTAACTTAATTCTACAGTTTCTGAGTTTTTGCCTTTTTAATGTTCATAGCTGTGAATGGCTCATCTGCAAAAAAGATGGTACTTAGCAATTTGGAAGAAGAAATACTGCTATGCACTAGCTTTCAGAGGCAATAACTAGAGCACATCCCTGCAAAGTTATGCCAGTGGATATATTCATCCATCCTGACTTTCTTCTCCCCTTCCATTCTCTATGTTTATTCTAATAATGTGTATTTAAAAAAACCCCAAGAAACCTTAAAGTTGTTTGGGAATTTTTTGTCAGATTGATTTTTTTCCAGTGAAAAATGGAGATGTCAGAAAATGGAAAAAAAAAATATTTCATTTGGATTGGCTTGATGCAAAGCAAAATATTTCTGGTTTTTAAATGTCTCCTTTTGAATCAGTTCAACAAAAGATTATGATTGCATTTCACTATCAGCTCATTACTTCATGGAAGCTAGGGTTTGGGCCTGGGTTCTCCCCATGACCCAAGTTCCAAGAGGATTGAATTTCCTAAAATGCAATACAGAGCTACATGGTGTCTCCACATCTGTCCTTGACCCTGGGTGACTCTGGCCAATCTCCCTTGGCTGGATCCCTTATGGAGGGTGTCTCTAGGAAAAATGGAGGCATCAGGTGTGTGCCATGCCAGTAGCAGCAACTCCAGAGGGATGCTGCTGGGTGTGTTGGGTTGGGTGCACTGCCATACCCTGCCCCCTTTTACTCTAGCTACAGCAAGGTGGCTGAGGATCCGCTGGCCAGGACCCTGGCCTCCCCAGGCAGCTGGCCTGAGGCTTGCCCCAGGCTATTGTCTTCTCCCCAGGCCCTGAGTTCCCTGTCCTAGGCCTATAACTGAAAACATAAGCCAATAACAATAAATAAAAAGACTGCACTTATTCTGTGTTGGCTGAATGTGGTCTCTGTGGTCTGTCCTCCATGCTGTGGTCCTGGTGCCCCAGTCACCCTGACCTGGGCACAGCCAAGGCTCTGTGGCTAGCCTGGTTGAGGGAA